AAAAAAAAAAAAAATAAGAAAAGAAAGGATAAAAACAAAGCCATTTTTTCTGCTTTTTTTATTGCATAGTAATGTAACTTCCGCATTTTCTGATCCTCTATTTACTGCTCTCATCGTAAACTTTTTCTTTTTTGTAAAAATAAGTTTTTGGATAATCATGTTGAGTTATCAGTTGAAGATATTCAAATCACAATAATATTAATTTTTGAAGAACAGCAGGTGAATAAAGTGTCACACATTAAATGAAGTGGAACAAATGTAAAGGTTGTTTTGAGGTACGGCAGAAAGGCAAATGTTGTTGACTTGACTGTTGACCAATAAATTAGTTTTTTGCCTATACTGAGCACTGGACATTTAACGGTCACTTAACATTTGGTTTAGTGTACTGTTTCTTAGAAATCCTTTGAACTAATAGCTAATCTTAAATCATTACAAAAGAAGAATGCATACAGAGAAGGTTCAAAAGCGTGAAAACGAATTATAGCAATGACTATTATTTATAGTTAACAATTCAACTCCAAAATATTGTTTGATTAACAGATTAATGATTAATTAATGCTTCTGAGACAAATATTTATTTTAAATAAAACATTTTCTATCTTACATGCATGGCTAAGAGCTGTAAAACATAGAACAAAAATCTTTTTTCTCACTGACAGCAACATTTATGGTTTATCAATTATCGAACTTAGGCACAAAGTAACTTGTTTCAAACTCAACATCGAAAATCTAATAGTAAATTGTATAATGCCAATTATTCACCCTTTGTAAAACAATTTTCACTTGGACTTTTTACTTTTTATTATACATCGAAAATAAAGCAAAAAAAAAGAGATGCAGAGAGCAACATCAAAAAAATTGTACTTTTTTTTTTGTACTTATAATCAAATCAATTATTTTTTTGCTAAAATTTTGTCACAACTTTGAGCCATTTTGTCATTTTTGCTATTATTACTCTTTCTAACTCTTAGTCATAATCAAATCCCAAAAAACTGAAAAATATTTCTGTCTAACAAGTGACAAAAATTTATTTAGCAAGCTACCAATTTTTCACTTTATTTTCAAGTTTTCCTTCAACTTTTTTCTTTTGCAATCGTTATAACCATTTTCATATCTTCAAAATATTCATGTTTTAGCTGGAAACATCCAGAACTAATCTCTCTTGTTGCAAGAAAACTAATAAATCGAGTTCCTAAAAATTCTAGTTTTTTTACATTGCAGAGATTTAAGTGAAAATTATTTATCTGTGCTCACGGATGAACAGCTTCAGGGACCACAAAAAATCAACAATCTACAACTGGACAAAAATTTCTTGACCTGGTTGGTTTGAATTTTTGAATCGGTTTTTCCGTTATCTGACAAATAATTTTTGGATAGATTCAGAAGAAGATATTAATGAAAGGACTTAGATAGTTTGAAATAAAATAAACTTTTGTAAAAAATAATAAAGATATGAATTATGTAAAGCAGATGCATCAGCTTCTGCTTGACTTTTGTATCAGTTTATTCAGCTTTTGCCTTTGAAATTTTTTTTGTTCTCTTTGCGACAAGTCAGAATATTGAATGAAAGATGGGAAAAGTCAGAAGCAAGCAGAATGGTAACAGTTTAATTTCTGAATTCTACAAATGTTACTTTTAGTTTGGACACACAAACCATTTCGACATGGACAGAACTTGAGATTCTAACATTAAACAAAAATAATCTGAGCTCACTGAACGAACTCCCAGAAATGCGTAAACTGCGAACTTTGTACGTTTACGGATTAATCCTTTATCATAAACATTTATGTAATTTTTAAACAGCGGTATAGCTTTTTAAAACATGCTTAACTGCCTCTGTGCTATTTAGGAAATTTGTTAAGATTCTAACTCATGTCTAAAATGTGTTCTAACTTTGGCATACTGAGAAAAATTTGTTAGTTTAGGCGTTTATCAGACAATATGTGGCTTTGTGACTGTCGTTTAAGATGGATGCAAAAACTACTGAATGATTACGGCAAAAGTCTTAAAAAAGACTCGCCAAAGTGCTTAAAACCTGCTCATCTGCATATGAAAAGAATTGACTTAGTTAAAGAACAGGTTTTTATACTTTATTCATTTCATTAGCCGGTACTTTTTTTTTTGGAAACTCAGTTTTTATAAATAGATAGAAATAGAAATAAGCTGTTTATAAGTTGCTGATCAGTTTAAAAAAACTAACTGGAAAAGGTTGAACATTTTAACATTGAAGCAGACGAAGACTACAGATGAATGAGTGCAGATTTGACAATGCATCGAAGTTGGTAAAAATTTCGTTTTAAAGAACTAAAGTTATTTACCGCTTAAAATTTCTCTGTTATACTGCTCTTTTTTTTTGAATATTCAAAGGAATTGTCAAAAATTAGTGCTTATTTTCTTGTCTTACATATGTAAAAATTATTTGAGGAAGGTTTTTAAAAGAAAAAAAAATTCCGTTTTGATGCCAAAAACGTGGTAGAGTAATAGCAAGCAGTTAACAGATAAGGGGTTTATGATATGGATTGGTTTTAGTGTATAAACAAAATTGCCGCTATTTGAAGTAAAAATAAAAAGAAAAAAAAAGAAGAAAAAAAACAAACACTTCTAATTTAACTTTTTATTGTTCGTAAACGTAACATATTCAGAGCAAAGTGCTTTTGGTTTCTGTGTTTTTAATGGCGCCGACTCATTTAACGATTATTTTAAATTATTTAATGAACAAACTTTACACATTTGTTTTTACCACCAACATTTACGGAGAATTTTTTTTATCGATGTGTTAGTACAAAATGACTG